AAATCTTTGTAATTTATTATTTTACATAAAAAATGACAAAAAATGGGACCCGTAACGAGTTTAACATTTTTATAATGTGTTATATGACGGATGCACGGTCGTTTAAAGTGCATTTGTTACAAAAAAACAACCATAACGAATGTATATTCGTTATTTTAATGTTATAACGAATGTACATTCGTTATGGTTGTTTTTCGACCAAAACGCACTTTTTTCATGGTTTTTTTTTCGAGTTACTTGATAATGATTGTATGTTAATGTTACATGTCATTGAAACGATAGTTTAAAATTGTTAGAGCGTCAAAACACTTATAACAAAAACTTCTTTTTTTGAAAAATAGAAATAATGAATATAAAATCTTTGTAAATTTGTTATTTTACATGAAAAATGACCAAAATGAAACCCATAACGAGTTTATTATCTTTATAATGTGTTATATGACGAATGCGCAGTCGTTTAAGGTAGATTTTGGTCGAAAAATAACCATAACGATTGTACATTCGTGTTTTCAATACTATAACGAATATACAATCGTTATAGTATATTTCCGTAGCAAAACGCGATTTTTTATGATTTTTTCGATTGAATTACTAGATAACGCATGTATATTCATGTTTCGTGTCATTGGAACGATAGTTTCAAGTTGTTAGAGCATTGAAACACTCACAACAAAACTCTTTTTTCAAATAAAAACACTTCTTCTTTATCTTTTTTTTTTTTGGAAAATGGAAAGATCATGTAAAATATATGTAAATTATTTATTTTACATGAAAAAAGTTTAAAATTAGACCTAGAACGAGTTTAATATCTATATAATGTGTTATATGATGAATGTACAGTCGTTTAAGGTGGATTTTGGTAGAAAAATAATCATAACGATTGTGAATTCGTTATAACGAATGTACATTCGTTATTGTTGTTTTTCGACACAAACGCGCTTTATTTATGGTTTTTTCAATTGAATTACTTGATAGTGCATGTATATTAATATTACATGTCATCAAGATGATAGTTTGAAAGTGTTAGAA